AGTAAGGCATACTATTACGAGGTAAAATAACGGCGTCTCGACATAAGCCTGACATAATTTTCCGAAAGCAACGACGAGTGGAAGTAGCTCGTCGTAGGTGGTCTAAGAAAGACGCGTGATTCGCCCGCGTCTCGGCATTCGGCTTCGCGATCAGAGGATCCCGTCGTCCCGATATCGTAAGGCTGGATCCCCGGATCGTTAGCACGCGGCCTTGTCCGTCATGAAAGCATCCGTATGTCGAATCAGCGATCGGCCGACACGCGAGTCGGCCATTCCTCACAATTAGGGCCGATTCACAGCAGCGCACGGTTTGCCGCCCACACACATCGGTTAGAAACGCCGTCCCGCTCGGCCCGCGGTCGGATAATTATTTTCCGATTATTATTAATAGTAGTACGACCACGTCGACGCGGCGCGACCGTAATCACGGAGATATCTAGCGGGGTGGGGGAGGCGAAAGGAAAAGGACGAGAATGTCCATCATGACAGGACACGGGCGGTGAGATCGTCCTCCACAGATCGTCCTCCCCGAGATGTCTCGACTCCTTTATGTCGACCTGGCATTCTTACACGCGATAGAGCCCCGTAATATAATGGACATTTCGAATGATCACTCCGCGCGATCACTACAACGCGTCACGTTCGCACAATGTTCCTCCGCTTGTGAGATCGCAGATCCTTTCTTCACGTTTTCAAATTAAGATAAATGGAGTTGGAATTATTACAAGTCCGAGTCATTAAGTTGCCATTAAGCCCAAGCGAAGTACCCCGAACCTGGGTCACTATGAGCGGGGGAGTTTTTCTCGCCTTGATATTTTTCAAAGATTTTCACGGAAGTCACTTTGTCATTCTAACGAAACTCCCTCTGTTAAAAACCTACCGGATCCCCTCACCCTTCTTTTCCCCCTCTTCCCCCCCTCCCCCTCCCTCCTCCTCAGTCCCGAGACTTAACGGCGAGGGGCACTTACAAGGTGCACTTGGTCAAACAGCGAATGAAGATTAGTATACGTGCGTCGCCAGGAGGGTAGTTCAATCCTATAGGTCTTTGATGACGTATTCCAGTCACACGCGAATCCCACCCCACCCACAGCGCCACCCTTTTTCCGCGCGATGTATTCACGGTATGTAACCCGAACGGGACTCTATAAAATACTACCCTCCCGTCGCTCTCTCCCTTCCCTCCCCCTTCACCTCTCCCCTCCAACCCCCATTCCCTTTCGCGTCCCGCGCAACCTCCTCGATTTTGTTCGGTCGAATAACTTATTGTGCGCGCTCTATTTTGATATGTCGAGGGCCACGCTCTGAATACCGAATGCCAGTATAGATTCGACCAAACAAAACGGAATTCGATTTTCGCCCGGCCGCCGGAGGAACGATACACAGAGAAACAATCGAGTCTCGTTTATGATGACATTTATGACGCGATCCCACCGCGGAACTCCTTGAACAGGGCGTCCCGCGACACGTTGCGAATGTGATTTTTCTTTTTTTTTTCGGTGACAGATTTTTTTTATACGGATCCAGAATCGACGTTTTTCTAAGATATACAATATACTTTTTTTACACATCTGAAAGTGATAAAATATAATTTTGCCCATGGTGCTTTCCAGCAATAGATACAAATCTAGTATCATTACCATTTGTCCTTGTTTAGCATTCCGCGTAAACAACAAGACAATAAATAATATAATGAGAACTGTGTTGAATTGTGTTTATCAACAAGACAAGCATTCCATCAACACTGTACAGTGTTGATGAGAAAAGTGAAGATCTTTAAATTTAATCTG